AAAAAAAAAAAAAAAAAAAAAAAAAAAAAAAAAAAAAAAAAAAAAAAAAACTCGACAAGTTTTCCCCGGAGATCTTTGTTTCAGGAACCACATGAGCAACAAATGACCGATCCCACCGGTCGTGATTGATGGTAAAACAAAAGAAGCCACCCAAACGGCTCCCATGAAATACCGCTACCCAAATTTGGCATATCACCATCATCGACGACGTCCAGCCTCTTCGCTTGGTAATGATGAAAAATAATTCTACAGTGAAACTAAACGTATAGAGACAATCATCTTAGAGCCTACTAGGGATAAACTAAGCTATGTGTTAATGTAAGTCGTTATAATAATATAAGAAAAACAGAGTATAGGTGGCGCATCGAAGCAAGAGGAGTTGGGGGGAGGGGGAATAGGTGCCGGTTTCGTTACGCCGACGGCTGGGTGAAGGACATCTCCATGGTGACGCCGGATTGGGCCCGCCGGAATTTACACGAGACGTCGTTGTTGGTGCGCGGTTTGCGCCGGCTGAGGTGCCTCTCGACCCACTTGAGCATCGTCAGCACGGAATCGGTGCTCGGTAATCGCCGCTCGGCCGCAGTGCGCACAATGTGCGACGAGGTCACGCGGAACGTCGCCGCCATGCCTTTAAGGGCCTACAATATCATCACACAAAATCATGGTCAATGCGTTCACTCTGTCACGTGAAAGAGCTAAGGGAGGAGGAACGTCTCGAACCTTCATGGCGTCCTCGTCGGTGGTGTCGTCGCCCGCGTAGATGATCCTTATGCGCTCGCTCCAGTCGAGGCCAAAGGCCGTGCGGAGTATGTAGATCGAGGCACGGCCCTTGTTCCACTCGACGGGCGGTTTGGCCTCGATGGCGCAGTGCGCCGGGCACGGCTTGAATCCCGCCTCCTCGATGAGCTTCTTGGCTTGCTCGATCATCGCCGGCCGGCGCTCCATGGGGGTCTCGCGGTAGTGGAAGGTCAGCAGGGCCCCCTTGTTCTCCACCCAGGCACCGTCCTTGCACAGCTGCTTGTGGCCGATTATTAAATTCCGAGTTATCATAGTGGAGACAACGACGAGTTGTTTTGTGCTCAAGGTGGTGGGGAGAGCTCACCTGGTCTTGAAGGGCTTGCATGAGCCCGGCTACTTTGTTCTCGAAGACGGACGGCATGGGGTGGACGAACTTGCTCCCGTCGGGGTGGAGGATCTCGAGGCCGTGGTTGCCGGCGTAGGTGATGCCGGTTATCCCGACCATGGATTTTACGTTGTTGACGTTGCGCCCGGACACGATGGCTATGTACACGTCCGGCAGATTGGACAGCCTTTGGAGCACGTTGCGCGTCTCGAGGGGCAGGACCGCCAGGTCCGGGTGGGTGGCGATCGGCGCCAGGGTGCCGTCGTAGTCCAGCAGGAGCGCCAACTTGTGATTGTCACCGATGTACCTGGGGGACATGCGCCATCACTTGATCGTTACCCGGCTTTCATCACGAGTTTAGGCCAACAACACCGCAAGTAGCACGCGCACACGCGCGCGCGCCCCTTTCTACTCTAGCTTTAACGATACATGCGGTATAATGTATAGGCATGTACGAGGTTTACAGCTGTCTTTGAGACAACCTCTACACCCCCAAACTCATGCTTTGGCTTTGTATTCCAATTTAACGCTGGATAGAGACAATTATTCAATTATTGTGTTTAATAAATTAAATTTGATGGTGTTATTTTGAGAGGGAAAAAAAAAAATGAATAAAAAGAGTGGTCAAAGTATGGATGGAGGGAGGAAAAAGCGTGTAGTACGTCGAGGTTCCGTTGCATGGTGTATACATACTTGCTGAGGTAATCGTCAAAGTCGTCCATGGTGACGGGTTGCATGACGGTCGCGCCGACCGAGTCCCTCTCCTCGAGGGAGCCCATGACCTGGAGGAACGACTTCATCCAGTTGTTAACGTCGTATATGCGCTCCCGTCGGCGCAGGTGGTTCATGCGCAGGGTGCGCTCGTCCTCGGGCATGGTAAGTGCCCTGTGCATCACCTCGGCCGCCTCGTCGATCTCGTACGGGTTGCAGATGAGGGCCTCGTGCATCATCTCCCCGGCGCCGGCGAAGGGCGAGACGATCAACACCCCCGGGGGCGTGTTGATCTGACAGGCGACAAACTCCTTGGCCACGAGGTTCATGCCGTCCCTGAGGGGGGTGACCAGGGCGACGGCCGCGTCCCTGTAAAACGCCGCCAGCTCGTCTTGGCTGACGCAACCGTATATGTACCGTATGGGCGACCAATTCGGGGTGGTGAAGCGCCCGTTTATACACCCTATGAGCTGGTCCATCTCGAGCTTTAGGTCCTGGTACTCGCGGACGTCGGTGCGCGAGGGCACGGCTATCTGGAGCATCGTCACCTGTTCCCGGTGCTCGGGGTGCTTCTCCAGCAGCATCTCGAAGGCCTTGAGCCGGTGGACCAGGCCCTTGGTGTAATCGAGCCGGTCAACGCCGAGGACGATCTTTTGATTGGTGAGCATCACCTTGGCCGCCGTCTCGGCCAACGAGACGAACCGGTCGAAGGGTATGCCGATCGGTAGAGGCCTCACGCGGACCGTCCGGCCGCCGTGCTCGACCAGGAGGTTCTTCCGGTCGACCCGACACCCGAGGCTGCGCTGGCAGCAGTCGACAAAATTCAGGCAGTAGTCCTGGATGTGGAAGCCGACCATGTCGCACCCGAGCATGCCCTGGAGGATCTCGTCCGCCCAGGGAAACAGCCGGAATATGTCCCAGGGCGGGAAGGGGATGTGCAGGAAGAAGCCGAGCTTCAGTTTGAGGCTCTTCTCGTCGGCCGCCTGCCGTATCCAGTTCGCCGCGAGCATCAGGTGGTAATCGTGCACCCAGACGAGGGGCGTGCCGCTACCTTGGCCCTCCTGTTCCTTGTGAATCATCGCGAGGGCTCGTACCTATTTTTGGTGCAGTGTGCGTGAGAAACAATCTTTTGATTTTTTTTTTTTTTTTTTTTCTTTTTCCCTTGACGATTATTGAGTACCGTTTTTGCGGCAAATTCCTCGTTGACGGTGCTGTAGGCCTTCCAGTGGTCGGCGATGAAGGTCGCTCTGTCGGGCATCGAGTGGAAGAGCGGCCAGAAGGTGCCGTTGCAGCACCCGTTGTAATACGAGTCAAAGACCGACGGCTCGACGTGCACGGCCACCACCTGTTTACAATATAATAACGATCCTTCAATTGTGCTGCAACTTTTGCGTTTTCATTAGGGAAAAAAAAAAAAAAAAAAAAAAATGTAGCGCACACCCTTCCCCTCGATAATCGATTGATTTATTAAGTCACTGTTGTATACTTATTACTCGTGACGCACGTCGGTATCATCTCTTGCTCTGTATTCAGTAAAATAAAATGAAAAAGAAGAAGAGAGAAAAATACGTATGTAATCTTTTCTTCACCCACAAAATTATGGAGGATAAACCCAAAGAGAGAGAGATAAGATATACGCGCACAATTATTACTCGATACCCTGCATTCCTCGTTATCTATTCGCTGTATGCGCTCTCACGCGTTACATGTATAATATATACATATACATATATATATAAAAACATGTGGCGATTGCACCCTTGACATGTTCAAGATATAATATGTGAGAAAATTATCGTGGTTTTTCCGAGAAAACGTATATATTTTTATCTCTCGGGTGTGAGCAAGTATAGCTCGAAAAAGCGAAGAAATCGAGCCATATATACTCTTGCGTATATGGGACACGAGTGTGTATATACCTATTGTACATGTCCAAGGGTCTTTATATAGATAACACGATTACAGCCGTGATCGGAAGTATATGTATGTACGCGCGAGTGACGTTGCACGTCTGTTCCGGTTATCCCATATTTCGAATCGGTGCTTTACAAAATACACTGTTCCAAAACAGGATCGGAGACAGATGTGCGTTACATATATGTGTAATGCCACTCGAGGTGGAGTGACACATGTGACGCGTGTATAATATATACGGGTTCGGGGGACGAGAGAGGTTGAGTTGCGCGAGACTCCCTTACTTTTTTAACAATAAGCGTTATTATTGTAACGAGCGACCCGACGAATCGAGGCTCATGTCACGCAGATAAATTGCGAGCGAGCCCCTTACGCTGTTCCAATTGGCTGTTAATTGGTGTTATCGCGGCAGTGCTCTCTTTTCGATTGCTTATCCCCTCGTGAAATTATCGGGACATACACAATATACTTGTTTGTTTGTTTGTTTGTTTTTTTCAATACAAATGATTTACGGGGATGGATGTTTTTCTTTTTCCACGCCACTTGTGGTTCATGTAATTATTGATCAATCGGTCATTGTGAAGAGTATGATTTATTAAACCCCAAGACTCTGCTAAGCGGAAAAAACATCAGTTTTTAATTATTAGTCCCACTGTATAGGTGTCGTTGGAATAAACTCGATTATCGTTGAGAAAAAATAATAACAAAAATTATAGAGAAATTCCAGCAGATGCAAGCTGGCAAATAAGAAAAAAATTATTATTTTTACCGTAAAAATTACGGTTGCAACAGTAAACCTTAAAAGGGTCGATGAATACATTTTACTGTTCCAGCATGGTAATTGTTACTGCTCTAACCATAACTTTTACTATTCAAACCATAATTTTCACTGTTCAAACGATAATTTTTACTAAAAATAATAATGTTTCGTAATATTACAAATATTAACGTTAAGTAATAATGGTAATTTTTGCTGGAATTTCTGTATAATTTTAATTATTTTTTTCTCTCGGTGTGCACCTGTTGATCGATATTTTACAGTTAATGTCTGCAAGCGATGGCTACTGTATCCTTTGTCATTATGATGCTGATTTACAATTTGAGCGTCGAAAAAAATCTACGAATCATCATGACCTTTTTCGTATACGCTAAATTTCAATACACTTGTTTTTAACGCTTTGTCCCGTTTTATTTATCTCAACTATACATTCCACGTTATACCATTGAAACACGATTTTTCATAATCGATACAGGCTGATATTGTAAGTAAATACTTGATGAAAAAAAAAAAAAAAAAAAAAAAAAAAAAAAAAAAAAAAAAAAAAAANAAAAAAAAAAAAAAAAAAAAAAAAAAAAAAACCACAAAAAACGAAAAAAAAAAAAAAAAAAAAAAAAAAACGTACAAGTATATTGCACTCTCAAGCCAATCTTCAATATTTATTATTACGTAAGGATCGAGCGCACGAGATGAAACCCACTGAACTTTTCAAGCCGTTTTCAAGTTAATCTTAGTATTGACAAAAATGTAAAAATCGCGCACAGCTGCTTATCGAAAATCATTCGCAATCGCAAACGTGTTATATGGCACATCGTCTTGGCTAATATTTTCTCTTATAAAATTTAATGAAATTCAAAGTAACACTACTTACTGATACATCACTCACACACCCTCAAACATTATTGGTGGACCTATATATTATGTTTTTTATTTTATTACGCAAGTTACGCCAGTGAGAGAAAAGAAAAAAAAAAGTGCAAGTTTATGATAACACTCCTCGACACCTCACGCGTCCTATTAACACATAGTATGAACGAGCTATCGAAACGTAAGGATATTGGCGTAAATCCTGACGAGTAAAAAATAGTAACGTCGAAGGTTCAACATTGCCTTCCAAAAGTTGTTTAGCCACACTGTTGCGAAAAAAGAGACGATTTTCTCATATTACCATAACTCGAAGGGTAAACAATAATCAAGAAACTGGCCAAATAATAATCCACGGTACAACGTAAGAATCGCTCGTTTCGGCAAACGACTCTGCAACGTTTCCATGTTGTATAGAGATATATTTTCAGGGCGTTATGTACTGTCGTCGGCGCGATAAACCCGGCGACCTTTATCCCCCTCTTGTACACACCACTCTCTCGTAAACACCGCACACAAGTACACTTGTTAGCTTGAATCTCGTGTTTTCCTGTAAAATACACCTACATATATGGGGTATATTCATCAATCCACACGATATTGTAGGGTGTGCAGGAAAAAGGAGATAAGGCCCGAAAATTTGTAGTTACCAGTAGAGAGTGAGGGAGGGAGAGAGTTTCGATTACGAATCGATGATACACGCATGCACATCCATACATATTATATTTACTGCAGGGGCGTGTCGCCTTGGCCATGCGCCTCTCTTGCGTATGGAGCTTGAGATGGTTACGTGCTCTCAATCAACTATATGACATAAGAGAAGGCGATGGAGACGAAACACGCGCATATACATATACACGAGTACACGAGTAATCGGAGATGATATTTACTAGTGAATAATGCACGTACAGTATTTGTTTTCATCAAGATTAATTAATGTCGAAAGCAATAAATTATTATTACGTTCACAAGAGTTTCAAAAAAAAAAAAAAATTAATTAATTTATGTAAAATCGTTAAATTAAAATGCTTTTATGATATGAACTGGTTAACTGTACAACAAATTCATCTTCACTTGAGAAATCAATATAGTACGGAATAATAATGGCTTGGACACGTCTCCGAAAGCCGATTGCTCATCTAAGTGTATCGTTCACAACCAATACCTGCAGTAAGTACGAGTAAAATATGTAAAATATTCACGAAATGTTTACAGGATCAAGGTATGTTTTGGCAGCAGGTGCACTATTAGATACGATTGCTATTAAAAATATAAACTCAACTCCTGTGACATAAAAACTAAGAAATCATACGGCGTTTGTGCGATATAGTAGTATAATTGTAAGTAAAGCGCGCGCATGACATGTTTGATCAAACTACGATACGTCCTCGAGAATATCCTCGAAATTTAATTAATGAAGTGTGAAAACAAATTGTGCAAGTACGGAAAGAACTCAACTGCGTTTTAATTAACTTTAGTGAGGAAGACGTATATGCGTAACATCGCTATTTTATTTTTCGATCGGCCTGTCGAATGGACGAGCCACTCGTAGAGAGACAATGATTGATCAGTACGAACGATAACTCGAGCTCAAGGTTTGGATCATTTTTTTTTTTTTTTCAAGCCACAAAATATCGAAAGACAAAAGAAACCTTGATGAATAATCATTGAAATTTTTAACACCGCATCTACATCATATTTACGAAACTGTACGACTGTCACGGGACGCTCGGGATTCCAATTGTGGGTATATTTATAGCTCACTTGATACTACACATGCGTGTATTGTACTTTTATTTACTATTATACGCTTGCATTTTTTGCATTTGTGTACCAATACGTACAAGTGTATATGACAAAAGAGCAATAATAGCCATTGCGAGATTCATCCTCAAAATTTTATTTTGATTCGCTCGCGTGGTAATACAACTGTAAATGTGCTTATGGAGTATAATTGCACGATTGCAGGTGAGAGACATATACTTGCTTTTATTAAATAAACAAATTTTATAACTGCGTGAGGATTACTTAAATGTCCAGAAGAGTTGCAATATATAAAAAAAAAAAAGACGATATTTGTGACACGTTGACTTTATTTTTGAAACAACAGCTTTTCAAGGATACTGCGCACAACAAAGTCGTACTACGATGCCCGCACACTGCAAATACACCTGCATGTGTACACCACGTAAACATCCGGAAAATCAATACGCTCACGACACCCAAGTACGTGTATTTTTCTAAAAAATCAACTATATACTTCACTGGTACGTTGCAAAAGTTGAAAACTACAGCAACCACCAGAAAGGCGCGAAACAATAATAAAGGAAGCAGGGCTAGCCATTCTTACCTTTTTGGACGACAATCCAGCGGTGGGTGTTCTGTCGTTGGGATCGGATTCGGGAATCGGCTCGTCGGGGTTGTCCATGTGCATTCCCGGCCAACCGACCCACACTCCATTTCCATTTATCACGACCGGCGCTACCGCGGTAACGAGGCCACCAGCGCTGAAACGAACAATCAATGGGCGATACTTTTTTTTTTTTTTTTTTTTTTTTTTTGGTTGTAACATCAAACATTATAATTTGTTCTGTATGTTTATACGTATTTTTTTGGTGCACCATGACTAAAATGTAATTTATTCACGATTTTTTCAAGCTTTGATGCACTAATTACAAACATTGTATGTATGATTCCAATGGTATAAATCATGTCAGTACCGCCTTAAACCATAATAACGCTCATTTTAAAAATCACATCGGAATAATTTCCACCTTATTTATTAGGTACTTTTCACGAGTTATATATTGCTCAAATTTATTTTGACACTATAATCCGACATAATTACTCTGCTTCTACAATTGTCAAGTCTAATAATCAGTGAAGCTCACGTGCCTATCACTCTCATAATAGATCCAAACAAGATAAAACGATAATTGGGGAAAAAAGCACTACGCGTGATTTCATCGTCGTGGATCAAACATCGCAAAGCGCATCAATAAGTCACTTCCGAAAGGCTGATGTAGTAGTACTATATGTCTGCGCGCGCGTAAGAAAACATAGACTGCTGACAATACACCGAGTCGCGTTGCATGTGCATGCACTTATCACGTGCTTTTGGCATGGTTAATACGCTTTAAGAACGAAATAAACAGATGAATCAATAAAGTGAAACGAAAAATTGTGTTTACGATATTGTTATTTAATCATTAAGAAATACGATGAGTAATTGACAAAGGAGTTTTTTCGACTTTATTGATACCAGCAACACAAACGATTGTTACTACAATACAACGCATCTTTTAATTCAATATCAATCACATATAAAGTCAAGTGCCAGTTTATTTACGGACATTCACCTAAAGATAAAAGTTAAAAAATAATTTAGAGTCAAGGACTGTTGTGCAATGACAATAATTTCAGAACAATTTTATTATACCATTACGTTTGAAATAATTTGATATTAGTGGTTGAAAATATTGTTCCCCTCGCTTAATCATCGATATTTGTCTCATTTTATTATGAAGATTTTTATTTGTTTACTTGACTATTAAACTTTTTATTTTAGAGAGAACTATCATGTATGAGCTACATTACTGAAAAATAAAATATAACAATTTTTAGTCTAATAATTAAAAATTTTTTAAATCTGATGCATTATACAAAATTGGTATTCATTAATTTATTTTTTATTCGTTTAACGTTAATACTCATATAATAACTTATACAACATAAATAACTTGTCCAATTTTAATGTAATTAATTCGTTTTAATCATCACAAATGTATTAACTATTTTTTGATGCAGAACGTAAATTGGCTCTTTTACTACTAAAAAATCGGAGCTTGTATCTCTCAGGCGTCGCTATACCAATGGATCACGCATGTCCATATATATATATAAGACTTTTTTGCAGACCGTGAGTGTGCAAGTACTTGAAGTACTATTATTATACACCAGCCACGCATGCGATCGATGATACGAACGATTACGATGCTTCTGGTATCTTGTCACGACGATAACGGCGCTTTATCTGTCTAACTCGTTTTGTTGTTCTTTTTTTTTCTTTTATTTTTATTTTTCCATCAACCACTACGCCACGTGACGGAGTACCGACCTTGCGTGCGTTCCTTTATGGATGCAAAGAAAAACGCGATCGGAAAAAATCTCCGCACGCGTATTTCCGTGTCTAGTCTCTTGCGGGTTACAGAGTCGACGTCGAGACTTGCGTTTCGTCTCGTTTGCCAATGTTTTATCTTTTTTTTTTTTTTTTTTTTTTTTGTCGTGTGCCGCACTCAATAAGCAACAACGTGTGCACGAGGATCTCACAGTTTGAGATGCGAGGAAGTTTTGAATGATTTATGTGGGTTAGATTAAATGTTTGCTTTGATTTGAGTAGTCCGCTCGAGAGACTTGTCTACTCAAAAACCGGTAATAAAGTGCGATTGCGATTGATTGTTTGATAAAAATGTTTATAAAAATCAATTTTAATGATTGACGAAAGTAACACGTCAGAAGTCTGCTAGTATTACTGGCAGAATCATAATAAGAGAATATTTACTGTTTCGTTTGTTGTTATGATAATTGTTGTTACAAATGAAAATGTCTTGCAATAAATAATTTGTGACGGTAACCTGGAGAGTTATTGTTTCATTATTCTATTGCATGCGATTGCTAAATTTTAGCACGTTACGGATTATCTATTTAGATAATGTTTTGTTAGCACGCAAATTCGTTCAGAAAGTAAAAGTATATTTTTGAGCTGTTGAAATGATACTTTGCTTCACTAATAAGTTTCGACGTCACTTGAGGATTACTTGCTTGATAAGATTAATATTCGAACTGAGCTTTGGTCGAATTACAAGACGAAAAAATTGTGGTTTAGGTAGAACATTGTACATAACTTATTACGCGACCCATTTTTTTCAAAAAGTATTCAGTGCAATTTTAATGATGATGCTTTAATCAAAAGTGAAATTCCTACAAATTTATATAAATTTTCATTTATATGATATGCTTGCAAAAGAAGATTAATCTGAATATATGTGCTTATAGTTAAAAGTCACATTTGCATTATTAACGAATAATATACATAGTTAAATTTTTTTTTTCTTCAAAATAACATTCATACAAAGATATGTTACGCAAAAAATTCAAACGATTGTTTTTAGCTATGTTTTAGCGATGCAGTTATGAGCGTTTGAAATATTGACAGTTTGTCAACTTTGGGGTCATCGATTGTGACATCACTAGTAAAGATCACTGAACAAAGTTGAACACTCAAAGCTGTTACAAATCATGTAATAATGTAAATATGAATTTTCAGAATAACTGATATACAAATCCATAAAGTTTTTTTATCGTACCTTGGCCGAAAGTGACGTTTTCTGACCAAAGCTGAGTTAAGCGCGTACTTATTAAATTATGGGAGTCAAGTAAGAGAAGCCTTAGATAAACTACACCAATCAACATACAGCTTGAGGCATTCCTCATTTTTCCCCCTAAATATGTGAAACGTATGATTAAAGTTGAATGAAAGAAGTTCAGACAGAAAACAGCACACGAGCAATAAATAAGGACAGCAATCGCACAGATGTATCTTGAAAAATGCTGTTGTGAGGATACATATATGACCACATTCACACAAATCACGGTATCGCCGGCCTTGTTCGGCATCTCTTCAAAGATTCGATAAGTTTTTTTTTTTTTTAATCTTTTCTCCCTCTTATAACATAACAGTGACGGCAACCATGGTCGCAAATAAGCAAGTCACGTTTCGCCTTCTAACACAAACTGATTTAAATAATTATGAAAAATCCTGTACATTTTTGTACGCTTGCGTATTTAGTTTCCGTCTTTGCGAGGAAGCTAAAAATTTAATTACCAATTAAGAGTAATATTATGATAAATTTATACTGTCCCTTATTTTCAAGCTGTAAATGTAGTGCAATTATTTTTGTAACTGCATAATAAACAATTTTACGTTTCATCATATAAAGGTAATTTTTAAATAATAAACATATAACTAATAT